GTGAGAGGGTTTTTCTAGGAAGATCTTTCCAGAGAGGAAAAAAAAAATCAAAAAACAAAACAAGTTCTTGTATGGAACACCTGGCTTAGTACAATGCAGGGATAAATCTCTTATCAAATTAGACTAGAACAAAACTAGAAAATGGTGGGTGTCCTGTCAGTTACCTGAAATAGAGTGTTCTGTGCATCGACCTTTTTAAAGAAGACAGTTTAAATGTTCTACAAAACTCCAAAAGTTTTTGAAGTTTTAAAAACAATAACAACAGAAAATGAGTGCTTGGCACTCTGAGCTCTCCAGCATTCGGGTTGGATAAAGTTAGGTGCGAATGGTGCGTGGCTGAGGCTTCAATGTGGACCATCACTGGACTTGGTGGATTTGAGTGGTGTTGTCTCTCTTCTGCCTGGTGTCTGCCCCTGTGGCCACCAGTGAACAACTTTCGCTAGCCTACCACCCCACAAAGAGCAATATTGACAGACATGAGCTGTTCAACACTTGGAAGTGAAACAAGATAATAATGCTGTGCAGAAGAAAATAATATCAAGGGGAGAAAAGGTAATTTTTAGATAAGACTGCTTTCTTTGGCCTTTAGCATCACCAGATAAAGCAGTCCAGTGTGCAGCAGACTGTGGACACGATGCCCTCCTAATCAGGTGACCCACCACATCTACGCTCGGCCATTCGCTTGCAGGGATGCTGAACTCAGCACTGTGTTGCCAGGCTCAAAAAACAGGGAAGTGGGCATGTCCACTGAACAGGAAAGGGAGTTGTGTAAGCTCAGTCCTGCAGGGGTCTGCAGAGCAGAAAGAGAACGCCAGCAAAGAAAGTGAGCAGCTGTCAAGTTTCACAAGGGAAGTCACGCCTCCGGCTTTCTCCATCAGCACTGTGACTGCTGTCTTCCGAAAAGAACAACCCCTCTTTTTTCAGTACTTCAAGAAGCCTGCTCCCATCATTTAGAGATTCTTTTAAAAATAGATTTATTTATTTTTATCAGAAAGACAGATTTACAGAGAGAAGGAGAGACAGACAGAAAGAGCTTCCATCTGCTGGTTCACTCCCCCAGGTGGCTGCAACAGCTGGAGCTGAGCCGCTCTGAAGTCAGGAGTCAGGAGCTTCTTTCAGGTCTCCCATGTGCGTGCAGGGTCCCCAGGCTTTGGACCATCCTTGACTACTTTTCCAAGTCACAAGCAGGGAGCTGGAAGGAAAGTGGAGCAGCTGGGCACTCATATGGCATCCCAGTGTGTATGAGGCAAGGATTTAGCCACTGAGCTGGGCCCCATCTGTAGATTTTTAATATTTGTTTCACAGAAATGCAACTTGCTTACAGTCACTGAAATGTAACCACAGAAGGTAATAGCATTCTGGGCAAGATAGCTTTTCCAGCAAGTAATGCATTTAGGACTCCTCAGGCTATGAAAAGTTACTTTGTTTTCTATGTGTGCTCATTAATTTAAAAGGTTATTTGGGGGATGGCACTGTGGCACCATTGGTTGCCACCCTGTGCAACCCTGGCATCCCATATTGGAGTGCCGTAGTCAAGCCCCAGCTCCCTGCTAACGCACCTGGAAAGGTAGCAGAAGGCTGTCAAGATACTTGGACCCCCAAGTATTTTGGGGAAGAAAGATCTGGATGGATTCCTGGGCTCTTGGCTTCATCGTAGCCCAGCACTGACCACTGCAGCCAATTGGGAAGTGAATCAGTGTATGGAAGCTCGCTCACTCTCTCCTCCCCTCTCTCTGCTTTTCAAAATAAATAAATACTTTTCTTTTTGGAAAAATGATGATTTGATCCTCTAGATCTTAGACTATCTTAGAATCAGGCTTTAGACAGATTTCATATATACAACTGTTGCTTCGAAGGAGCATTTTCAGGCCACAGAAGCTATCCTTTGCTACTGTTTTTCTAATTGTTCCTTTCTCCTGACCTTGATTTGGTTTTGGGAGTTTGGGATTTTGCTTAGTGCCAAGTTTACTCAGACTTATACAAGTTTCTGCAGTATTTCCATAAGAAGTCTTCCCCAGGGTTTTCTGTTTCTAAGCTGATATCTTATTTTACTGATGCTGTTCAGCAAAAATGTGGTATCTTTGCAGGGTGTGCTGATCACTCCAAGCCATTCAGTTCAATGCACCAAAGATTGTAAAGTCATGGATCAATCATTCATGCTGCAAGGACAACTTCCTATAATCTGAAATTTTGAGAAGGTGACTGCTAACATACATGGTATCCAACTGCCAAAGCAAGGGTGATCAACTTTGATGCTTAGGAGTCTTTCCAAAAGTGGGTGAGAAGAGACACCATAACTCTAGAACTCCGTGTGACTTTTCTTAGTGTTCCTGAACAGAATTTTATGCACCACAGGGGCATGCTGCACTGACTCGGGGGGGGGCACAGTAGACCACCCCCCATCTTCCATGGGCAGCATGGGTACCCCCACCTCCAGGATACAAGCTGACTTCCAGGATGTCTGACTGTCCCCTCCCCTGAGAACTATTTCTTTCCCAGGATGGCTGCCCTTGCAAACAACCTGCTGGGCAGGGCTCTGACAAATGAAGCCCAACTGAGACCCTTTGTTTTTCAGAGTCCAGCCAACAAGCTGGCATTCCTCATGCTCATTAGGGGGCCGTGAAGGGCTGCAAGGCCAGGTCTGTGCTGCCTCCTCCCTTGCAGTCCCTGTGGCCCTGTGTTCCCAAGATCTATACAGCCAGATCACACCACTCCCAGGGCACATTCCATTCTGTCAGGGCACCGGCAAAAAAAAAAAAAAAATCAATAATATTTACAGCAGGGGCTGGAGCTGGTGAGAGAAAAGGGAGGAAAGGGCCCGGCGCGGTGGCGCAAGTGGTTAAGGTCCTCACCTAGCACGCCCGGGATCCCATATGGGCGCCGGTTCTAATCCCGGCGGCCCCGCTTCCCTTCCAGCTCCCTGCCTGTGGCCTGGGAAAGCAGTTGAGGACGGCCCAAAGCTTTGGGACCCTGCACCCGCGTGGGAGACCCGGAAGAGGCTCCTGGCTTCGGATCGGCATAGCATTGGCCATTGCGCTCACTTGGGGAGTGAATCATCGGACGGAAGATCTTCCTCTCTGTCTCTCCTCTCTGTATATCCGCCTTTCCAATACAAAAATAATAAAAATAAATCTTTAAAAAAAAAAAGAAAAGGGAGGAAAAAAATATCTTGAGTTCAGTAGATTAGACACTGGAATCCACTGGATTTGTGGGCTTAAAACCATTTTTTACAGAACACTAGAAAGCTCTGTAAGCAGTTACAGACTTGGGTTCATCAAAACCTCTAATCCCAATACCAAATTAAGGTCCTGACAAAGTAACCAAGGAAGAGAAAACAAAGTATAGTTTCTAGGGCCTGTTAATTTCTTGTCCCACCACTTCAGTAGATGTTGGCCATCTAAATGTTCAAAGTGTCCAACTAAGACTCCGTCTGGTCACTGTGTATTTAAAAACTTGACTACTTCTGCTTTGTTCAAGGCTTGGACAGCCCAAACAAAAGATGACCCAGAGGTTTCCTTATGCAAATATGCACACCAAGCTGAGTTTTAGATCAGGGACAGCAAAAGACCAACTCACTGGACAAATCTGGTCCTTTTCTTGTCATTCTCCATGAAGAATGCCTTTTACCTTTTGAAATAGTGTCTGGGTAGTAGGAGAGAATCCAAAGAAGAATGCTTTGTGATACATCAGCATTTATCACAAACTCCACAACCATCAAGTGTCCCTGGAACATGATCATGCACATTCATTTAATGATCATGTGTGGCCGTTTAGGATATAGGAAGAACTGAGTAACCTCAACCCACACCATGTGGCCTGCAAAACCCAAGATACTGACTACTGGGTCATTACAAAAAAGGCCAGCCACCCTTGATTTCAGATTATCAAAGACTTTTTTTGCTTCTGCTGAGATACCTGACTAGTAGCATATACTCTGGGTTTGTCTAGACAATCTTACAAGGCATAGGGAGAGAAAGGGTGGCGGTTAGGACCTGAGAAAGCAGTGTGCATGCTTGACAAACACAGGCGATGACAGGGAGGTTACCAACTACAACAGCTTGGGCTGCCCTTCCATGACCAGTCTCTCAGAGCATGCAGAAAACACATGTGCGCCCCTTGGTGGAACGGAGAATGATCTGGGTTTCATTTTAATAGCCATGAAGCAATTTCCGGTTGATGGCTCACAACCACAGGCCTTGACCTTTGGTTTCCCTATGCATCTAGAACATACTTGCTGTGCCTACATCTTGATCCTAAACAATGGACTATTCTAGATTTTCTCAGTGAAGTCTGATAAAGTGCAATCTCCAGAACAATGTCTGTCTGGGAATGGGCAGCCCTGCAGGCGAAGGTTCCAGCTCTTTGCTTTGGGACGGCTTGGGGCAACAACCAGGACAGACAGCAGCTGGGCTCTCTTTGTTGTGCCAGCCAACAGGCAGTGCTTACTGGAATGAGTGGCAAGTATGGAGTCTTATTCTGCAGGGCTATTTAAGCCAGTTACAGGTTCCCACTTGTTTCCTCTACACCCTGAGAAGGAAGGACAAGTGGGATGCTTATTGGCCAAGCTTTCATGAGAGAAACTTCCTTATGGGATGACATTTCTGTCCTCTGGGGGTTGGGGACAAAATGGAGACATGTAAAAAGTATGAATGCATGTGCTTGTTGGGGGTGTCAGGTGTTTTGCAACCACTATGATCGCACAGTAACAGAGGCTCCACTGAGGCAGGTGAACAACCCTTGCAGCCTCGGGATGGTGGCCACGGGTGAAGTCGGCCTATAACCTCAGCTTTGCAGAGACCACACAGCCTTTCACTCAGTGTAGAATCTCCTCCTTGCCATACGTTGCGTTTCTGATCTGTCTTGTTTTTGAGAGTCCCTGATAAGTAACAATTATAAACAATCTTCCTCTGAAGTACAAGTGAGTAGTTTCTTTTGAAAGAACAACAACAGAATATATTTTTAGGTTAAAAAAATTTTTTTTGGGGGGGGTGCAAACTCACCTGGAAAAATCTCCCTTTGCCTCCTGTAAGAGAAAAATTCAACATGAGTAAAACACATCAATCCAGAGTTACGCACTTTAACATAATTCTAGAACCAAGGCAAGTTCAACTTCCTATTATTATTCTACTGTCTTCCTATTGGCTACAGGAATATAATTCAGGAGGATTATGTGCATTTGACATACAAATATCAGAAAAGAAATTAAACTTTTGAAAGTTATAAAAGAAGAAAGTGATCCTTAATGACAAAATGCAAGATTCTGCCTGCAGGCTCTGGTCTAACTTGCTCCTGGTTGAAAATTCTGAATCTGAACAAGCACTTGGACAAGGACTCTCTATTCCTTGTGTTGTTTTTTGTTTCATTGTGCACTATGGGCTATTTCCCAACCACACCAATGACTCGAGGGAATCCAGCAAGAGGTCTCCAACATAGCAGTTTTGCTCCATAACCATTTGTTGGAGGAACTGACTAGTGATATGAATTCAACTCACCTTGCCATCAGTGCACCTAATACTGTGTAATATTTCCCTTACTCTCTCTTCTTGGTTTTTTTTTTTTGTGTGTAAATGAACAACCTTTTCTCTTTGTTTCTAGGGGTCATGAAGGTGCCACTTGGTGTAATTAACTCTAGCCATTCTCTTGGCTCTCTTCATAATGCTGGGAAGGCACCACACTGGAAGGAAACAGGGCCATTTCTCCCAGGAGAAGGTCACACACAACCTGTCTTCACAGAGTCTGTGGTCTCAAAATTCTGTAGTATGAGAAGGCCCTATTGACCGCCATGGTATCGATGTCCCTGGCAGCACTTTTCAACCGGTGGCTAGAAAATGTTAGGATGACAAATGATGGAGGATGGCTATGGGCCAGGCATGGAAAAGTCACACTTCCTCTTCCATCTGTCTGCGTCTGAGATACAGAGATGAGGAGGTAGCAACTTACCTGCAAAATATAGGAAGCTAATTCAAACACCACTTCACTGTCGACGTCAATAAGCTCCTGGAAGGGAAAACCAGCAAGGAAGATAAGTTTGTACCTGCATAACAACGCCTCTGGTCTCCCTGGTCCAGACAGCCCCCAGACTCTCAGATCTTCTTAGGACATCGATGGTCCCTGAAGTCACTGTTGTGGATTACTGGGCTTCCAGTGCTTACTTGACATACTTGCTCTGGCTCTTGGCTGGACTGGACTAGTGGTCATGGGCCTCCATCGTCATCTCCAAGGCCTCATCTTTAAATTTTGATAAGAAGGAGTGGGCCAGTTCCCAGATGTCCACATACTTGATAAATTTGTCAATCATATTAATCATTAGAGTGTGGTTACTAGATAACTGACTGCACTTTACTTCAGAACTAGTAGGGAGGTTTTATTGAAAGAAATGACATAACAGGACTGGGGCTCCTTCAAGAATTAAAATCAAAATTAAAAATACAGTTCCTAGTTTTACTGGCCACATTTCTTTCACATCCTCAGAGTTCAATGTAGCTCATGTCTGCAACCTCGTCCGTGCAGAGTATTTCTACCATGGCAGACAATTCTCTTGGTCAGCACTGGTACAAAGCCTAGGTTTTAAAATGCTGCTGCCTTATTAGTGCTTCTCCCTATATTTAATTGTAATCTAGGGAAAATGGCTGCCACAAAACATTGTTTTTGAAAAAAAAAAGAAATCCAATATATGTGCATATTTTCCCCAAATATGTACAGTTCATGACTTTTCTTTAAACAGATTCATTGAGCTCTAATTAAAACACCCAAAAACCCCTGCACATCTAATGTATACAGGTTGATGAGCTTGCAGGTGCACACATCCCTAACGCTGTCTTCATAATACGTATATCTGCTACCTCCAGGAATTTGTGTCCTGTGTGTGTGTGTGTGGCAGACATGCTTCACACCATCTGTCCTATTCACAGGTTCACATGTGTACAGCCCTGCACTCCAATCTGCTTATACTGCAGGGACAGGGGAAGCCAGGATCCCTCAGCAGGCAAGAGCAATCCATTCATTTATGTCATGCTACACTTTTGTTGTCAGCCCTAAGCATAACTGTTTGTCTCTAGAAGGGCACTTTAAAAATTTCATGGAAAAGTGGAATTAAAAGTTCAGGGACTGGCACATTGGCTTACTAGGCTAATCCTTTACTTGGCAACTCTGGCAACTCACCAACTCTGCCAACTCTTGGCAACTCACGTTTCAGGGGCTCCACTTCTAATCCCACTCCCTGCTAATGTCCTGGGAGAGAAAAGGATGGCCCAAATCCTTGGGACCTTGTACCCACATGAGAGACCTAGAATGGCTCAGCTCTGGCCATTGTGGCCATCTGGCGAGTGAACCAGTGGATGGAAGATCTCTCTCTGCTTCTCTCTATAAGTCTTGCCTTTCAAATAAAAATAAATAAATCCTAAAAATGCCAAGTTTATATTGCTGCAAACATTTTTGAAGTCCATGCACAGCAGGGGGGTCTTTCAAAGTCCATGCAAATAATGCATGTTATTAAAAAATGCATGGATTTCAGAATACTTTTAAAGACTTTTTCATTTATTTGAAAGGCAAAGTGAGAGAGAGAGAGAGCACAAAAGACACATCTTCCATCTACTGGTTCACTCCCACAAATGACTGCAACAGCCAGGTCTGGGTGAGGCTACGACCAGGAGCCAGGAACTTCATCTGGGTCTCTCACCTGTGTGGAAAGAATTCAAGTTCGTGGGCCAAACCTATTGCCTCCCCAAATGCATGAGCACAGAGCAGATCAGCAGTGGAACAGCCAGGGTTGGAATCAGCACTCACGGGTTATCAGTGTCATAGCTGGTGGCAGCTTAACCCTTAAAGCCACAATGCTGGCTTAAGATTGCAAACATTTTTCACCAACAAAACATACATTTTTTTTCATTTTTTGTGAATTCTCTGGAATACCCCCATACTTTTCTTTCCCTAATATTCACTGTATTTTATAATGAGTGAATGCATAATAGAATGAGCCAGGGGAGATTTCAAGTCCAGCGATTCCAACCTTCTGATTGTACTGAGAAGAGACTTCCAGACACACGAAGAGACTTGTCCAATGTCAAGAGCTTCCCTGGCAGTCATGGGGCTGGAAATAAATCCCCAACTTCTCCTCTGTTATATGTCTCGGTCTTAGCTAAAACAATCTCAGTACACAAGCCAAGTTAACTTACAGAGAAAAAGCTTTCCACCAGACTGATAAGCCGTGCTCGAATCCACAGATCCTCTAAGTATTGTGGGACCCTGTGATTTTCAGCAGTACAAGCTGGCATGTCTACATCCCTGAGGGAGGACATCTTTCAGGCTTCTTCCGGCCTGGGTATTCCAAAGGTGGGCAATTATACTTCCTCATGCAGGCACCTGAGAAGTGGGAGCCAGCAGAGGTCCCAGCAGCATATGGGAGAATGGGGACGGCCATTCTTTCTGTGTGACCAGCTCGCCATGCTCCAGCGTAGCTGAAATTGATACCGGCTGCCGATGCTGGGATGGGGAAGAATGTTTGGAATGGCAGTTGTGGGATTAGCAGGTCCCACTGGAACGTAAATCACTGAACAGCGGACGAATGATTTCACAGAAACCCTATCTAGGATTTCCACAATGACTCTTTTCTATTCTCACCATGCTGATTTCTATTCCCACCAATGGGCTTCCTGGATGCTTTCCTAGGTCCCTGGTGGAGTACGGGAATGGGTTTACTCTTCTGTCAAACATTGACTCCTATGAGGCAGTACACGGTCAGTGGCAGCTAATAGTTAACACCCTGCAAGATGTGCAACTAAAACCCAAGCATCAGAAACAACTGTTCAGTGTGAATAAAACTCTTGGTTGACCAGATGATTCAACTGCTGGAAGAAAATGTCTATATCTGGGATGGGGAGTGGTGGGGAAGGAACAGGGGTGAGGGCAAAGGGCAAGGTCTTTATTTCACACAGCCCATGTGAAACAATCCTGGAGGGACTGTTGGTGAATATTTAACTCCAACACACTACTAGCCACAGCAAAGCAACCACCAATGCACCATTAAATGTCTAACCTGTTCTACAGCAACTCTGAGCACAGCTGTCCTTGGGGTAAGTGGGTACTAGCATCTTTAATAGGGGTGAATTCCTGCCTTCACTGAGCCTGACCTCCGCCCTGGGAAGGTAGTAAAAAGAGTGAGAGGGAAAAGAATGAATGAATGAATGAATGAGTGAATGAATGAAGTGTCCCTGCCACTGCACACACTGTTAAACTCTGATGTAAGGGAGCTGCATCACCATGCCTCAGCATTCCTGTTTGTTATTCAGTGAGTTCAAGAGTTGGCTCGCAGGCTGGCCACTGAGTCATCAACTCGGAGATTTCAAGGAGGAGCCTTGGAGACACACACCAGGTTAACAAGAAGACATGCTCCTATTCCTCAAGACAAAAGCACTCACAGCCTGCGAGTGTGTGGCCAAGTCCCAGGCATCTCTTGTTCATAATGTGGTTGCTTCCTTTTTTTTTTTAATTGGAAGGTTCCACCATGACAGAACACGGTGTTCAATTCTCTGAACAGCCTTCCCATAGGAAGACACCCATTTCTAAATACGATTCCTCCGCACCTTGGTCACAAACCTCTTCTGCATTGCCCATCGCCACTGTGGTGACAGAAATGTGTTGGACCATGTGGGCAGTCCATGACGCCTTTCTGCACTTCTTCCTGCTTCAGTTGAGCAATTACAGCTCTACTCACTCACCAGCATATTTTAATTTTCTGCACCTTACATAGATAGACTTTCTGTAGAAACCAAGGGAGATCAGCAGTCTGTTCTCTAGAGCAGATGAACAGGAAGTATGAATTAAAAGGAGGTCTGAACCCACAATGGGGACCACCCTCATCCCGCCACCCGTGGCCGGAACTGCAAGGGTCCTCGCTGGAGGGAATGGAGCACTGCATCAGACACAGACACACGGAGTTTCCCATCAATCCCTGGGAACATCAACAGTTGGACATCCAGATCTGAACCTTGCAGTGACCAGGGAGCTTCAAGTGCCTCAACCTTTTATTTTTTTAATTTTCATTTTATAGCAAAGGTGAAGAGAGACACAGAAACACATATGCATACACAGTGAGAGAGAGAAAAAAACAGAGAATCTATTACTGCTGGTTTACCCCAAATGCCCACAGAAGCTGAGCCTTGGCTGGCCCATGTGGGTGGCAAGAATGTAAGCATTTGAGACATTCTCTGCTGCCTTCACAGGGTGCACATTAGCAAGAAGCTGCCTTGAAAGCTAGGAGGAACCAGGCACTCTGAGACGTGGGCTTCCCAAGCAGCACTGTAACAGTGTGCCTCTTAAAGTTGAGTGGACAGAGCCCGGCGCGGTGGCACAAGTGGTTAAAGTCCTTGCCTTGCACGCCTGGGATCCCATATGGGCGCTGGTTCTATCCAGCAGCTCCACTTCCCTTCCAGCTCCCTGCCTGTGGCCTGGGAAAGTGGTCGAGGACAGCCCAAAGCTTTGGGACCCTGCACCCACGTGGGAGACCCGGAAGAGGCTCCTGGCTTCGGATTGGCATAGTATTGGCCATTGCGCTCACTTGGGGAGTGAATCATCGGACGGAAGATCTTCCTCTCTGTCTCTCCTCTCTGTATATCCGCCTTTCCAATAAAAAAATAATAAAAATAAATCTTTAAAAAAAAAAGTTGAGTGGACAAATCAGGATCAACAGACAACTGGGGAAGGCCTCTTCCACCGAAGATAGGGATCAACACACACAGGAAGAAGTACAGGAAAGAAACTGAGAGCCTATTGTGACGACTGTACTATCAATGTGGTAAGGGAAGCTATTATGTTCCTAAGACAATGATAAAATAATACAAGAAAAGAAATGTACAAACATGTCAGCGAAGATTAAAAACCCCATAGAAGTAATTACAGATAACGCTGACAAAATCTCCCAGAAAGCAGAATAAACAGGCAGAGATGGAAAACTGTAAAGAGACAAGGTACAAAAGCAACAAGAGGGGCCACACTGTGGTGCAGTGAGTTAAGCTGCTCTCTGCAAGGTCAGCATCCCATATGGGTGCTGGTTCGAGTCCAGGTACTCCATATACAATCCAGTTCCCTGCTAATGTACCTTGGAATGTGGTAACTTAGGCCTCTGTACCCACATGGGAGACCTGGCAGAAGCTCCTGACTCTTAGTTTCAGCTTGGCCCAGCTCTGGCTCTTGTCGGCTAGAATCAGCAGAGAGCAGACTCTAATTCTCTCATTAATTTCACCTTTCAAATAAGAAAATAAAATCTTAAAAAAAAAGGAAGCCCTAGGAGGCTGTGCCTAGATTCACAGGGGTACCACAAAGTCAGGGCAGGGAGAAGAGATGATATCAGAGATAAAGCAAAATGTTGCTTCCAAACCAAAGGAGGATACAGGGTTCTGGAGAGGAAACAGCCACGGAACGCACAGCATGATGGACTCGATGTGTCCCCACCCTCAGACTGCATGTCCTGTAGCTCCAGACGAACAGGCAGAGTGGGAAGGCCTGGGGGACCGCACTGCTGCGGATGGACAGGCAGCCAGCTGCAGTGGATAGGTCCACAGGCTTGTCCAGGGCATCACCCTGGACGTTCTCAAAGCAACCTCCATTCTGAGCAGAAAGGAAAGTGTAGGATGAAGACTCTCCCAGCTACACAACCACCCGACCATGCCGCTTCCTCCAGCTGCATTCTCTGGGTTTCCTGGAGGATGTTCTCTAGAACAATGATGTAAAGTAAACAAGCCAGGTGGACTCCGGATCCAGAAGATACAGGGATTCATAGAAAGTTGGGACCAGGGAAGATTCACATGGGGAAGGTGCAGGGGGACAGACAGTGCTCCTGGATGGCAGCAGGGATGGGGGAAGGCTTCTAGAGGGAAAAGCAGCAGTAGCAGCCAGGAAAAACCTGGAGAGGAGCTGATGGATTATCCAGTATGCCTGAGAATGTACATTGCTATGCACTTGGGAGTTTTTAGAAATAGAAGCTAAACAAATAAAAGCAAGGCGATTATTCCCTTCAGGCAAAACAGCTGGCTGCCTGAGAAAGGAATCACAGCCATAGCATACCAGTAGCGTTCGTCATAATAACGTCCTGTGGACGACCATGCCATCACACAGAAAGAATGGGGAAAGGGGAAGTGCGCGTGGTTTTATGGCACTTCGTGATCATTGCCTATGGTTGCAGGAACTCAACAAGTCTAAAAGAAAAAATCTTAAAAGTGTATCATCTTGTGTCAGTCATTTAGAAAAACAGAGGGCAGATTTAGAGGAAACAGCTATAACTGTTGAAAGTGGCAGAGCCTGGGCAACAGGTGGTGGGTTGAGCCTTCTAGAAGTATCTGACTTTTACGCATGATACATTACATTGGCACGGATGAATAGTAACACTTCTTAATGTGAATAAAAGGGGACTTGGAAGCAGCAGCCACGGGCGACCTGCACCCTGTGAACACTGGATCCTAGGCCCTGTGACGGACCTCGCTCCCAATAAACAGGGGGAGGGCTAATGCTAATCTCCATGCTGGGTTCACAAAGCCTCCTTCCAGGCCACGACCTGCACCAGGACCAGCCCCACCCTTGGTGCCATGGGCACCCTTGGCAGCATGGACAGAAAAAAAAAGTTGGGGTCAAGTCAAAGAGCCGGGTCTGAATCCAAGCTGCTAAGAACGCACAGTCCTTGTCTTGCTGAGTCTGCCCACAAGGCGGCGCTGCAGTGCCCCTGTCCAGTCATCAGAGTGCAGCTTGCAGACACTGCACCAGGGGCCACAGGTACTGCGCGTGCTCAGAGGCACCAGGGCCTGTCCAACAGCACAAGCCAAACTCCAGATCACCGTGTGGATCCACACACCTACCTGCCCAACCACTGCCAGCGCCTCTGTCTGTCTCAGCCATCTACCCTCTCTGAACATCAGCTTCCTCCTCTGGAAAGCTGATGACACCTGTTCTGCTTCAGCGGGAGCTTGAGGGGCTCAAGCAGGCGAAAGAACCTTAGGTGAACCCTAAAGGTCAAGCTACGCAAATGAAAACACTCCCTTCCATTCCTACATTGCCACCTGAAGCTTCAGAGGACACCCTTGGTTCATTTGCGGTCCCTTGAGTACAGATTTTGAGAGGGAGAAAGCTGGAATTGTGGAAGGACTTTCTCCATCCCCAGTTCAGCAGGCAGCTCACGCTGTCAGCTCCAGCTCATCTCCACCTGCGCAGTCTGCAACATTTTGTTCTGTGGATTTACTCTCTTCCTTGTTTTCTACAGATCCCAGAGTTCTAGGTGTCCACGAGGTCCATCTCTATTTCAACACTAACCATCTCAGGAGAACATGTTTCCCCTCCCTTAACTCCCATGGCTGTGTAAAACCCAAGGCCCTGGCAGCTCTTGCACGGCTCGCCGATTTCAATGGCCAGCTGTTCATTTTGCTGCCCAAGTCTGCCACCTACTGGACAGGGCTCACTTTGTCTGAACTTGTCCAAAACACTTGCCCAGCCATGAAAAACCACCACCTGCAGATCCCTTCAATCTGTGGGGTATGCAAGACTGGCTCTATTATTTCCACTTAATAAAGAGAAAATGAAGGCTTTGGGGAAGGAAGTAATTTTCCAGTATCTGGATTTTCACTTAGTGACTTTTCCCTTCATTCAGTAAAAATAAAAAAAACACTCCTGGGAGGATGCTCTGGGTCCAGGCCCAGTTTGTTTCCTGGCTCAGGCAACTGCCATCAAATGATATCTTGGGGCATGTGATCATGGCCAGGCCCCCACCCGCACATCATTCTGAAGTTCGGCACTTGGAGAAAGTCTGCCATGTAATGGATGTGCTCAGGCATGTCCAGAAGGGAAGGTGGTGACTCACAGAACATGCCGGCTCTTGTGTGCGTGTGTGTGTCCAAGTGTGATTGTGTGTGTATGTACATGCATGTATGTGAGTATGTGCACGTGTAAGCATGCACAAATGTATGAAAGCACACGGTGGCTGCTCAGGAGTGAGGGGACAGGGGAACAGGGGAACGACTCTTGCACGGACGCAAGGTTTCAGATGTGTAAGGTTAAGAGAGTTCTGGAGACAGACGGTGGTGATGGCGGCATGAGCTGCAACCCGAAGATGATGCCATTGGTAACTTTCTAGGTACTCTGCCACAATCTTTTTTGAAAAGAAGAGAACTGTCACACTTAAACTATTAGCAGAATTTCCACTTAACACTGATCCTGGTAAGTCACAAAAACGGTCACTACATGCATTGGTTTTAAGATGTCTGTTCACATTTGCAGGACCTAGATTGACTGATACACCTGTTATACTCACCATGGTTTTCCCTTTGCCTTTTAAAACTAGGCTAAAAAGCACCTCCATGGAACCAGAAATAGATGGGATTGGGAGGAGCCACGTTACCGAGCTGACCCCTTCTGCTTCACAAAGTTTCCCATATACCCATTTTCATCAACTTACACATGACTCCTTCTCATTCTTACAGTCACCTGGTAGGCCAACTTGGCACTTCCAGCTTCGGGTGATAGTACCAGATTTCAACATGAGCCAGGACAGGAAGACAAAATGCTGCTTACCTTGTAGATACAGGACTTGGCATTGAGAAAGAAGAGCTCAATGGTGGCATTGTCCTTCAGGTAGGAGATGCTCTCTATGTAGAACCTGAAGAACAGAAAGTGACCATGAGCCACAAGGCTGGCGGGCCTGGGAAGCAAAGGTGCCCTTCAGCCGTGACTTGGGATGAAGCATGGGACTCCTAATCCTAAAGCAGGGGAAGAGAAAGACTCATCCACGATCATCCCATGATCCCTTTTGGGATTAACCGTCTTCTCCACAGGCAAAGACCCTGGCCTGCTCTCCAACCACAGGAGCCAACTCCAGTGTGACCATCTGCACTCTTCGTCCAGTTGGAGTGTTTTTTTCCAGATCATTTCTTCTGGTTGATCGAATCCGGGGAGGAGGGTCACATTTATCTTTGAAACGACTACCCCGTGTCTTCCTGAAAGTGGTGAGGTTGATTTCCACATGGAGAACTTTGCAAAGAACAGTTTCATGATGCCATAGTAATGAGCCAAATAACAACTGGATTTCTATCCACTTGCAGCTTGCCAATTTTTTTCAAGATCAAACACACTGATCTTATTTACATTTATATTATATGTGCCTTTACACATTGACTTTGGGGATAATTAAATTCCCGAATCAGATAATGTAGCTGCACTGTCTCGGGACAGACTACACAAAGAGAGGGAAAGCTGATACAGCAGGGGGGAGTGGGTCGTGCAGCATCCTGCAGGGAAAGCTTCCTTCTCAGCAGGTGGATGCAAACACCCTTAGCTGGACCAGGGACACTTGGTTCTTGTAAACTAGGGGGACTAAGAGAGGGTACTGAAGGTCCAGAAAGTGAGACGGGAAGAAACAAGGACAGTCTTCCGGAACAGTGTCCCCACCTGATGTGGTCAGGATCCCCTGGGGCAGGGCAGGGCGGCAAGGAAAGCTCTAGGACATAATCTCAACACACTGAGGTCTTCCTGACTCTAGGAGCAGACAGTGGGATTTGGGCAATGGTTTTTCCATCTTTAAAAAAATTACACACACACACACTGTTATTTAAGTATTGGGGAACAAATTCAAACAATTTTAACTTACTGGTGAAAACAAGCAGCCACCATTGCATGAGTCAAAATATATCTGCAGGTTAAGTTAAGCTCACAGCCTCCCACACTGCAATCTCTTATTATCCATCTTTTTTTTTTTTTGGATGCCATTAATGGAACACAGATTCATTTCAATTTGTTCGTGAATTTGGAGATACTCAGTGATTAATTATCTCAATCAACAGATAATAGTGCTACAATTACCATCATGTCAGGGCCTGCAAAATTTCCAGAGATAAAAAAAAATGTCTCTCTGTCCTCTTTGCTGAGCCTGGGTGTGATGGGGCTGGCTGGTCATAATCCATGCCCATGGCACCCCCGGAGTACCTATCCCCCAATTTTGGAGCAGGCGCTTTGGGTCATAGAGGCCTCCATAAAGAATCTGCAATGTTTCAGAGAAACCCTAATAGTATAAAAAGTTGTGTTTCTGATAGCAGACACTGAAAGGTAGAAGCCAATTATACCTCTTAGCGCAAGGTCATTTAACGCTGATTTCATTTTAAAACATCTCCATCTACATATCTTGTATAGCGACCCTTTAGCAAGAGGTAGCCAGAATAATAACACAAAAATGGGAGAGGAAGAAACAGTGTGGGCAGGAAAGCAGAAAGAGAAAAGTGAGGGGGCGGGGAAGCTACACAGGGTAAAGACCTATGGTATTGCCTTAAGATGATGTTATTCCCAAACCTGCAGATTTGTACTCCAGGGTGTTCTGAAGGTGCTGGGGTGGCTGTCAGCCTCAGGGCCCCCTGCTCTGCTTCTGGGACTAGGTCCAGGAGAGGTTCTGGTCCCACAACTGTCCGTACTAACTGTGAGAGGAGGCCACGGCCGCTGGGTGATGGGTGCCACAGGAACTTCCTGCGCAGCTAGACTCTGCCTCCCAGGCTGCCAGCTCCTTGAGAGGAGAGGCTCTGCTTCCTTTTCTATCACAAGCATGAGTGCTGTGGCTGGCACAGACATGAGCTCGGCAAGTATCTGTGAAGAATTTTGACTTTCTACTTTCTTCCTTCCAACTTCCCCTTGATCATAGTCCCCACCCCCTATATATTGTTTTTTTTTTTTCAGATTCATTTACTTGAAAGTGGAGTGACAGAGAGGAGAAAGACAGACACAGATCTTCTACACAATGACCAAACGCATGAAATGACATCGAAGGTCTGGGCTGGGCCAGGTTGAAGCCAGGAGCCAGAGTCCATGAAGGTCTCCGCCACGGGGGATCATCGTCTGTTGCGTTAGCAAGGAGCTGGGTCTGAAGCACAGCAGCCAGACCTCAATCTGCGCTCACGTGCGAAGCTGGTGTTGTAGGTGAGGGCTAACTCACTACGCCATGATGGCAGGGTGATACAAGTGGAGTCTCAGATGACTTCTATGGGTTTTATACTCCTTCTAGCCCGCCATTCCTAACCTGCCCCATCCTCTGAGAGTTGACATGGAGAGTTAGGGTAACACAGTGCTGTTTCCCTTGTACCTGACCGTGGAGAACCAGCCAGGGCCCCTGAGTCTGCCAGCAGCCCGAGTCTCAGTCTGCACGGGCTCTTGCAGCTGGATTTGCACAGCATCACCACCTGTCTTAGAACGGAGGAGTAAAGACATGGAGGGCCCCCATCTCAGCCCCGGTCTTCTAGACAGTGTCTCTTCAGCAAATGTAGCACTTCCTCTGTTTCTCAAAAAACAGCCCTCTAATAATAGAAAGCTGACAGCCCGCCCAGGAGAAGGGTGTGTGTGTGTGTGTGTGTGTGTGTGTGTGACCCTGAGGAAGTGGAAGTGGTAGAAGAAGCAACAAACACATTCCAAGACAAGGAAAACACGTGCGAGCTGGTGACACAAGCTGGCAGGCAGCTTCCCGTTAGCCTTCGTCATCGAGAGGATGGGCGGGAAACCCGTGCCCTCCCAGCCTGCCTGCACTGGAATGTGGGTGTGAACTCATGTTGAACTTGCCATCTGTGCCAGGGAACTGCCAAGGTGCACATGCCTGCAGAGAAGCAATCCTGTGACGTTTCCACATTCACACTCCCGTGCTGATCACCCCAAGAAACTCCAGGGGGAAGGCGGGGGGAATGACTGTGGATGACCTGGATTTGAGACTTTCATTTTTTAAAAAAAGAGTCCATTCTTGCTCTGCTGTTCACGAGCACCTGGACACCCGGTCCTTCCTCTGCTCGCCAGTAGGTGGCGATGTTGCATTTCCTTTATCACCAACGTGGAACAGGCTCCATTCACAAAGACAATTCTGGCTCTCCGGGTGAACTCCCATTTAGATTCACAGGGTGTGTGCTTGAGTAATTATGAGTCTGCTCTGTCTTAGCCAAGTCTTCACGGTGTATTGATGTCTGGATCCTTGGTGACCCTGGATGGTCCTCCCTTCCCAGGACTGGCCAGGCTTTCAGAGTGAACATGGCCACAACACACCTCTCTTGGTGACCCAGGGCCACAGTACATGTATGAGAAAAGCAGGGGCAGCCCCATTCCACTCAGGCCGCTGAAACCATTCAAGCCAGCTAACATCAAGCCTGCTTACCCATCCCAGGCTGCAAAGCTACCATGCAACCTCTGGCTATACTTCCCCTCTGCCAATGGCACCCTCAATAACTTGATGTGGCTGTCTCCTCCTTCTGGGAACTGGGAACCAAGTAGCAAACTATCTTCTTAACAGCAATCTTCTGATCTGTTGTCTGTGCCACATCTCATTAACAATCAATCAAAGTTACATTTTAAAACAGGGTCTTCAGGGACAAGCTGTGGTGTAGTGCATAAAGCCTCCACATGTGGCGCTGGAAACCCATATGGGAGCACTGGTCTGAGTCCCAGCTTCTCCACTTCCAATCCAGTTCCCTGCTTATGGTCTGGGAAAACAGCAGAGGACAGCCCAAGCCATTGGGAATCTGCACCATGTGAGAGACTTGGAAGTAGCTCCTGGCTCCCAGCTTTGGACTGGCTCTGCTCTAGCTGTTGCAGCCACTTGGGGGAGTGAACCAGTGGAGGGAAGACCTGTTTCTCGTCTACCCCATCCTCTACTTAAGACTTTCCAAGCAAAATAAATAAATCTTAAAAACATGAGACTGGGTCCAGCAGCGTGGCCTAGTGGCTAAAGTCCTCGCCTTGAACACGCCAGGATCCCATATGGGCGTCGGTTCTAATCCCGGTAGCTCCACTTCCCATCCAGCTCCCTGCTTGTGGCCTGGGAAAGCAGTCGAGGATGTCCTAAAGCTTTGGGACCCTGCACCCGCGTGGGAGACCCAGAAGAGGTTCCTGGATCCTGGCTTCGCACCAGCACAGCACTGGGGAGTGAAATTCTGTCTCTCCTCCTCTCTGTATATCTGACTTTCCAACAAATAAATAAATCTTAAAAAAAAAAAAAACAAAAAACAAATGAGACCAAACAAGGTTTTCAAAACACTGAACAGGACTGAATCTTGGGGTTTCTTTTAGAGTGGAAAGGAACAGCTGAGTGGGGGTGGGCAACCTTGTTTCTTGCAGGGGCTGTCTGGAGGATCTGTAGCATTATTCACGGGACATGCAAAATAATTAATAAAAAATGAATGCTTGCTACAGTTTTATTGGATTTCAGATCTTGCCTGCGGTTGCTTTGGAAGGGCTGGATCACATAACTTTACGAGCCCCATCGGCCCGCTGCCAGACGGTCCCCAAGCCCACGAGACTGACAGCAAACCCAGCATAGAGGGCTGTTTGAGCCCCGTAAGTAATGGCAGGCACAAGTGAGCCCCACCAGAGACAATTCAGCCCGATAGTCTGGTGTATGTCTGTGCTCTGGCATTGAGTAGCTCCGCCCCCTGCGCCCCACTCTGGGGCCCTGGCATCCTGGGGCTTTCTTGTCCCCTTTGGCTGAATGTGGATGCCTCTGACACAGCGACAGCTAGAACGCTGCCCAGTCAGAAGACGTGGGTTGGTCGTGGTTTGCTCCACCAGCCCCCCGCTGTTCCTCTTCCCTCTCACACCCACCCCCTTGGCAGTGGGGAATCACTGAATATTTACAGCAAGTGTTAA